CCCCAAAACCCCAAAACCCCAAAACCCCAAAACCCCAAGGGCAATACTAAATATAGAAAATATTTCTTAAAAATGGCAGGGTAAGTCATACTATTTCGTACCGGTCTAAACCAATTAGTACAGAAGAGACTCTTAAGAAAACCTAAAATTAGAAGGGGGATTAAAGTATTTTATTGACTTCCAAGAGGAAAATATTTGAATTTGAGATATTAGGGGTGTTTATTAGCAATCCGGAGATTTTTATCATGATGGGTTTAGTAAACCCTGAGGGCTTTGGAAGTAGAATGAGTGATCTAGGATAAAATTTGAGAGTTAGGTGGGCTTTATGGTATGGAAATATCCTGAGAAGTTCATAAAATTAATGATTGATATAGAAAATCGGTCTCAGAAGAGTAATTTTGGGATAAATAATTTTTGATTTTACACCAAATTTCGAGTATCTAAATTTACAACGCATGTGATAAATTTATATGCTCTGATAAATGCTTTACTTTACGCTGATATCATATCAAAGTCCTGGGTTTGAAGTAATAACATTTCTTGCTGTTATTATTTACCAGAATTAGTAGTGTGATATTTTCTGTTTGGACATATCACTTTCAAGGTGGAACATTGCTTAAATTCAACTTTCCCTAGTATTGATAGCTCCACCAAAGAATAATGGTAGTGTCATTGACTTCTGAAGGATACTTCCAAGATATACATATTTATAAGTCATGACACCATTATTTTTGTATAATAAAATAAATATTTTTAAGAACAAATTAGGCTAGAAAGTCGTCCTCCACAAGTCTTACATGGCAGACAATGCTGATCCCTATTCATGAAGTCTATGGAAGAAGCCTACACAAGCCTGATAATCTGGGTTCTTTCGAGTCCTTCCATTCTTTATTTAGCCAGTAGCAATTATCCAAACTTCATATCAACTATTTAACAGCTAATTCATGATCTAGAAGAGCTTGACTTATTTGAGTCCTCCATAGTACTTTAGATCCGGTGATGTTCATGGTTGTCCTGTCTGATGTATTCCCAATCAATCTGGTGTCTCCTCTAGTAAAACTTTAAAGAAGGCTTCCTTCATTCTAGTTTGTAAGGCAACAGCTCCCCTTACAGTTTGCTATAATTCAGGGCTGAATCTTTTCTTCTGTCGCAGACCCTAAGTGTAATTCTTAATGTCCTGCAGACACTAGGAAGCAATAGTTCCTTTATGTTTGATAAAAAATCTTCTGACTCACCAATTGGTGAAAAGTAGCAAAATTTTTAAAGAAAATAACTCATTGTTAAGGATTGTGTTTCAAACCTTTTACCTGGTTTTGGGATCCTTATTGCTAACCTAATTTTACAGGAATTGCCAAGCTTGTCAATACTGATGTGTGGAAAAAGATGGGAGAAATTATTGAGGAGATAGGTCCGAATGACCCCCAGAATTACGATACTCAATAGCGTTCTACGTCATTCTTGGAGTGATACTCGTTATTGGAATCTTCTTTTGAATTCTGATAATCTTCAATTTTGTCAGATGTATCTGGCTGTCCTGCCGAGAAAGCAAACTAAAGAGAGAGGAAATGAAAGAAGAAAAGAAGTACCATGAAGAGCACAAGAAAGATGCAATTGTTTATGGATATTCATATGATATGCCCCCTGTCAAGAAAGCCGAACTACACCAGAGTGTTAGTCTCAGGTATACTTTCTCTTTTAATTATTTCCAAAGACTTGGTGACTTAGCCAAGCAAGATTTTCCAACCTGTTTAACATCTTTTTAGCATACATGAAATTAAAATCTTTTGAGGAAATAAAAGGCCTAAACCTCCTAAAATAAAGAAGCAGGAAATGCATGTTCATGACTACCGTCAAGGACATCGATGAAAGACCCCAAGTATTGATACAGTAAACACTGCAAGATCATTCTTAACTAAGTAAGTCTTAAACTAAATTTGGATCTCTCTGTGAGACTTTATTCTATTACGAATTTGCTCACAAATATTTAGGAGGAGCGATGACCTTTACTTGGATGAAGATGAAGCAAACTTTGATATAAACTCATTCGAAGGGAAAATCCCTAGTTTCAAGACTTTAAAAGTGATAGGCAATGCTGGGAAGGGAAATTTCTCATAGTTTAATCATCTCTCTAATGTTGATAAAACTCATGATGGACCAATTTTCATTTAATTGAAAAGTTCATATTTCCATTCTATGCATGATCAACGGGGTTTTGGGGTTTTGGGGTTTTGGGGTTTTGGGGTTTTGGGG